AATGCTTCACTGCTATTATCTGCGCATAGCCTGCAGCTAATTGCTATGCTAATTCAAAACACTATGAATTAGCATAAAACACTAGGAATTTGCATTCTCTTGAGTCTGGCGACCCTGCATGATATACGCCGCTTGTGACCTTACGGGGACCCTTAGCTTGAGATTTACTGCTGTATGCATTGGGGATTATATATTGATACCTTCCCAAGTAACATTTTACTCCATTTAAGAGTTCACATTTAGTTCCAATGTGTACTTAAAGCATTAGTACAGTTCACTCGTGATGTATAAGCTGTATTATTGCAATTAATTACACCTATACCTGTAAGGGACTTATAGGAGTGTAGACTAGTGTAGAGTTATACTTTTATACGATTGTTGGTGTTATAATACTCTAACAACTATCCTTTAGTCAGCCATCTGACTAAGAGCATTATAGGAGGGTAGAGATACGGCAACCGCTGTTTAACGGCTTACTTGTACGATGTTATAGAGCTAGCATTTTAATAGAACACACGTGGTCATTTATAAAGCCAAAGGCTGTTATGTTTACTTGTTTTAGACTGTTATACAGCTAGTAGCTGTAGTAGGACTTGTTTGTGATAATTAAAATAACCTTTTTTTACTATCTGTACAAAAGTGTTTCAATGGTTCGCATGTACACTGTAGGCTGTTAAAAGGACTATATGTGTTGTCCATTAACATCAATAGCAGTTTATTTGTCCACAAGTACTACTCTTATTTGCTTTAAGCTGAACACGAATGTGAATGTGATATTCTATTACACATTTCCCCAAGCCTGTTTTTAGTTGTTCATGGTGGTTCTGTACATGATGCAGAGGAAAATATTATGCCTGAACCTGAAATTTCCCTTCAAAATATACCAGATATCAGAGTGTGATGATTGCAGTTCTTGTGATAGTGAATACCATTTTGATTTGGACAATTATTTAACCTTTCGCAAAAAAAAATAAGAACATGGGCTATTGAAAATCGTATTCCTCATTCCGCTTTGAATAAATTGTCAAGCATAATAAACGAATTTAAACCGGGAACACTACCGTCTGATGCTTTAGGTATTCATACTTGACTATTAGTACCTGGGCTAGGCGATTTAACGGACATTAATAATTTTTATTGCGGATCTCTAAAATTTCAGTATTTGAAAGAATTAAAGATACACAATTGACCTGAACTAGGTACATCTTAAAGCTGTACATAAGTTCACATTAGAATAAATTTATAGACATTAGCGCTGTAGTGGTACAAATGTGGAACTTCATATAGATAACAGCATTCTAACAGAACACATGTGAACCTAATATACGCTCACCGCATTAAATTGGAGTTATAACAGTTCACATAGCCGTATTTCATTTCCACCATTTTGTTCTACATAACCTAAAATATTTACCAAATAAATCTCCAAAATTAATGCAGATTTATCACAAAATTCGCAGATAGAGCGATTGAGTTTTGGTTTCATGTTATAATTAATTACCGTAATATAATTATAATGCCAATCCAATATCAAAAACTGAAAATTGTAGATTTCCTCTCAGCCAGTTTTAAATATTTTAAAATGAATATCGCGTTTTTACAGAGGCGCGTAAATATTTTAGCTGTAAATATGTATACATTTCACGATAAAGTTGCATTCCCAATGGCATTAACATTATTAAGTATTTAAAACCCGTGTTATTATTTGCATAAATGATTATCCGCCCGAGTTGTTTCCCTCTTGGCACTTACGTACAAATACCAAACTAATATTAAAATGTGGAAATAATTTAAGACACACGTGAACTTTAGGTAGCATTGGAGTACTTTTGTCGGACTTCATAACTTTGAAAGCTGTGCATTTAGCCACTTGTTACTCTTTATTGTCCTCACGTACGTTGTATGGTTCACACTGCGTCCCATATAGTGCCGTAAGTCAGCCTTAAGTACGATGTTACTACTTAAACTGCTATTATAATGCTATTATACTGCTAATGTACAGCCATAGTGAACTTAAAGCTGTCTAATTTGTGCCCAAACTGGATCTATAAAAGCATTATAGCAAGCTATACAGCTCGTATACAGCTGACATACACAGCTTGTGGAGTACATGTGAACGACTATTGAACTCTTAAATGGAGTAAAATGTTACTTGGGTTTCTATTGTTATTTTTAACGGCATTAACAAGCTGTCAATGCATTATTGATTTGTTTTTCATTTACTTTTCTAAATGACAATGCAGATATTCGTATTCAAAATCAAAAGTTTCCACTTATAGCAATATATTTCTTATGCTTTTGTTAAGTTTTGTTTGCATGACAAACTCGTTATCCTATGTTTTTGTTAACTCTTTACAAGTTACTATTTTAATCGGTGGTTAAGTTAAATTTTCTAGCTTCTACAGAACTCTATACGTATATCTAAAGCTAGATGATAAGACCTTAGGTAACAGTAATTAAGTAAAAGGGAATGCTAAGCCAGATCAGGCCCTGAACAAGCAATCCCTTCCTAATTAGCCGCAGCGGCGCAGGAGTCGCCGATAAAACGCATTAGAGCCGTTTAATACACAATTTAGTGCTTGTTAACACCTGCAATGAAGGGCCGGTCTAGTCGGTCGTCGAGCTTACAAAACATTTATCCCATAGAATACGTTATGATATTAGCACAAAATTAATAATGTTATCAATGTAAATGTGCGAGCAAGACCTTCTTCCTCGGTCCCTCACTTATGAGGATCGCGACCACAGATAGTGTTCCTCCACAGACTGCGGTCATAAGCTGTGTGGACCGCACGATGCAAACTTCCGCCCACCGTCTTCCTCTCCGCGTCTGACCTGAAGGTACTATATTTTGACGTTCATAAGTGCGACTTGTGATCTAAACTGAATAAATGTTTTTGATTTTGATTTGATTTTGACCATCTCGTCGATGTCGTCGACGTCATCTCTCGCGAGCAAGATACGATACATGAAATCCACCATTTACTTCATTGAAATAGGTAAATAACGAGTTTGTTCATGTTTCTGTAGGATGTTGGTGAAAGGTATAAATTGTGGCGACTGTTAGCATAGTCGCAATAGTAAAAAAACCTGCGTGTATTTTTCACTCTCTACATACCTACAGGAGACCCGATATCGTTTGTGAATTCTACTGCCTAGGTACTTATTATTATTCTGTGATTCTACAACAGATCCATGGTCTTGCAAAGGGTTGCAATATTTAGTGCATGTAAACAAGATTCGTAGTAAACCCATAAATTATCCAGAACACCGGGATGTGGGCCGGAGCCCAAATAAATCGCAGGGATCAAAAACCATTTCACTCGGCGCGCGCGCCGCTTTATGCGCGCGACATTTTTTACGACGCCATTTTATAAATATGGCGTTTTTATGAAATTGTCGGGAACTGTATAAAAGGTATCTGGAAATCTTATTTCCGTTTTTTGATAATATTCATATTTTTACGAACGATTTAATATCAAGTCATGTGCACAAAGACAGACATAAAAAACCAATTAAAATATTAATAAACGTTAAAAAGATGAATCTTCCTGTTGACGTAGGTACTTAGTGCTAGTACTCGTATTGTGTAATCAAAAGATATGATAATTATGATAATTTCTCGTAAATCTGCGCTCATACTAAGCAACATAATACTTATCTTCTAAAGTGCTTTTAATTGCAAGTAATGCTGTTAAATAATAATAATTACACAGATAAAATGACATCAAAGCTGATGCTTGCGAATATTACACGATTTACACAGACATTCCCACCGAAGGTTTGCGACCTCTGACTTTTACTTCGGAGTACGATAATCGGAAACGACTCTAGTTAGAAACATAAACCAGCTAATTGTTCGTTTCATGTGGCTAAAGGTAAGGTTATAATTATGTTTTCATCTACATACATAAATAAAATTGAGTGTCTGTTTGTTATGTCAAAATATCAGCTTTCACTAAAAGCATTTTGAAAGTATACCTACGTAATACCTAGAGAAAATCTGTTCTAAACTACGCAATGTTTTTTAATCATTCATCACTTCGCATAGTTAGACCTTAAAAACACCCTGTATATTGTTATAAACAAGTACCTAAATATTCTATTATGTTATACATACGTGATAGACGAAATATTATAATATCAGCTTAAGAGGCTCTACCTAATTTAGTTTAAACATCCATATCACGACTTCCAACAAAACGATTGTGAAAATTTTCCTTATATTAATGACATTTTATGCAAAGCCCAGTGACCTGGATGCGGTCTGATCTGCGATTAGATAAGACGGTGACTAACATATAACATACCTACTGGTATCTTGCGACTTGTTTGTCTAGTTGCCTCTGACCTCATAATTACTAAGTTAGAATAAACGTGCGTTAATTAAGCGACTTATAAATAAGAAGTGTATAAGTATGGAAAACTCTAGAGAATGTAACATTTGATTAAGTTTAGATTTTTAATCCCTAGTGGCTAAGCCACGACCCATGATGGACGACGGCACATCAAGCGATGCATCATGAGCGAATAAGGTGCTACTCTACATATTTTAGACGACAAATATATGGGTATAAAATCGATATTACAATTCATGCTAGCCAGGAATACTCATTCAATATTTTTTCTCTATCTTTTTAATTTGAAGATGTATATTTCATAAGCGACAGCATCAGTTCATTGGAGTGTTAACGAGAGTCAAAAAGTATTCACCTCAAGAAGATTTAACTATGTTGTCATTACGTGGAAAATTACGTCATGCATTGATATCGTCGTAGTTAGAGATGGGTTTCCACCCGGGTAAAAACCCACATGAGGGTAAAAACCCAATAAAAACCCGTTTCATTCCACCCGTGGGTGTTTACACCGGGTGAAAACAAATAATTTTATAATTATTTCAATTGGTATCTTTTCTTTATTTTTATTGAATTTTTCTCATTTAAGTTTATTGATTAATAAGTAATAAGTCAAATTTAACACTAATATGCATTAATTGTTAGGATATAGAATTTTATCATGAGATGACATGTTGCTGGCAGGTTTTATTTTAAAAGTAAATAGCATTAGAATAAAGTTTGAAAATAATGACAGGTGTAGACAAGCAAGAAAATGTGACATTGTATCATTGTATTATTGAATTTCGATAGAGTCAGTTGTAAATGTTTTAATATTTAATATGTAATAGTTTTGATAATATTTTAATAATAAAGTGTGTGTGAAGTATTGAAGTGGCGTTATTATGATTGAATAACCTCCCAGGAGTTGTGTAGAGAGGCACACTCCTCGAACAGGTCATGGGCCCAGCGTACGAACCCAGAGGGCTGTAAGAATTATCTCTTGAATAATAAGAATGAAAGTTAAAGATCTATCCTGATTTTGTTTTTGGAAAATTTTAAAATAACAATATGTCGGAAGAAAATTTTAAATTATCAACGTTATCAAAAGGAGAAGAGTATACAAACTGGAAGAAGAAATTGATATTGTTATTGACAGCGAAAGATATAGATTGTGTTTTGGAAGATAATGCTGAGAGCAAAAAGGATTTTAATAGAAAAGATGCAAAAGCAAGATACATCATAATAAGCTCATTATGTGATAAATTTGTTGTATATGCATTGAATTGCAATACAACAAAAGAAATTCTACAAAAATTTGACACATTATTTCTAGGACATGAAGATACACAGATTTGTCAACTTTTGGAACAATTTTACAAATTCAAATTTTCAAATTCGGATTTGATGATTGACATAGCAGAAATTGAAAATCAAGCAATAAAATTAAGAAATTTGGGTTACAGCATAGACGAAAAACAAATCATGATTAAAATTTTAACAAGCTTACCAGAAAAATTTGCCTTTTTTAGAACTGCGTGGGAGTCAACCCAAACTTCGGAAAAAACACTAATAAATCTAATATCAAGAATAAATCTAGAACTTACTATGCGAAAAGAGAATCAAAATCTAAATTTGGAAAAACCTGAAATGACGCCGTCTACGTCAGCAATAGAAACAAATGACAATGCATTTGTAGTCAAGAGTTGTTTTGAATGTGGCAAGAAAGGACACATTGCCAAGTATTGTCGGCAGAATATGAATGCAAATCGTGGATGGAAAAATAATAACCTGCAATGCTTCAGATGTCTGAAGTTCGGACACAAACATACGGAGTGCAGTCAACAAACGAACTGTATGTACTGCAAGCATAATTCCCATTACACGAAATTCTGTCTACAGCAACATCAGCATGTGAGTAATTTTATTCCTTTAAAAACAACTGTGGACTTCATCCTGGATTCAGGAACCAGTAGTCATATTGTTACGTCTGAAAATTATCTGAATGACAAAGAAGACATAAATTATAGAATTATGACTGCTGATGGAAACATACATCCAGTTAACACCATGGGAAATATTTATACAGACAATATTAATTTTAAGAATGTTTTATGTGTACCCCAACTTAAAAAGAATTTATTATCTGTGTCTAAATTAGCTGATGATAATTATATTGTTAAATTTTACAGAAATAAATGCCAAATCATGGATCAGAACTCTGAGTGTAAGCAGACAGGAGTTCGCAGAGAGGATGGCCTTTATTATGTGAAACTGCCAATGGACATGTCAAAGTCAGTCGTGCATTCGAGGTCAGACAAAACATTCCTTATTAAAGGCTTCTGGCATCGTGCCTTAGGTCATGTACCTATAAACAAGACTAAAGACCTTGTTTTAGGTATAGATAGAAACTTAGTAGATGATGTAGACATCTGCGAAGTCTGCATACAATCTAAGCTTTGTAGAAAACCTTTTAAAACTGTTAGATATAGAGCTACTAAACCTTTAGAAATTATTCACAGTGATATTTGTGGTCCTATTGGAAAGGAAACATGGGATGGCTACAAATATTTTATTACATTTTTAGATGATTATACACATTTTGTTAAAGTATTTCTTCTTAAAAACAAGAACGAAGCTTTTTCTAAAATTTTAAACTTTATCAATTTGGCGGAAAATCATTTTAACACAACAGTTAAAACATTCAGATGTGATAATGGTGGAGAATACACCAGTAACCAATTTAAAACTTATTGTATTTCCAAAGGTATTAATATTGATTATACAATTCCGTATACTCCTCAACTGAATGGTAAAGCTGAACGGTTAAATAGGTCCTTAATGGAACGAACAAGAGCTTTACTCTTTGATATGCAGCTACCACATGAACTATGGGGTGAAGCGGTTTTAACTTCTGCTTATTTATTAAACAGATGTTCAAACACAGTAAACACTAAAACACCGGCGGAGATGTGGTTTAATAGAATACCAAATTTAAAACACTTAAATATTTTCGGATCATTAACATATTTTAAAAATAATTTTCAGTTAAATAAACTTGACTCAAGAAGCAGTAAAGGGCTTTTAGTAGGTTATACTAATAACGGATATAAAATATGGGATCCTTTACATTTTAAAATCTATTATTCAAGAGATGTAACGTTTAATAATAGTAAGAGTGATGTTAGTGAGTTTTTAAAAACGTGTTATAGGGAAGTGAGACAAAGTGANTCCAGCCACCACCATTGAAGATTATTTGGAAACCACAAAAAACTTAAGATCCGAAGGATCAGAATACCTCATACTTACAATAAAATCTCCACATAACGTAACCTGCACCCAAACTATTAGTCGCTGGGTTAAGCAAACATTAAAAGAAAGCGGAGTGANAACTATTAGTCGCTGGGTTAAGCAAACACTAAAAGAAAGCGGAGTGGATGTTTCAGTGTTTAGTGCTCATAGCACTAGACACGCATCCACTTCGGCTGCAAGATCCGCAGGCGTCTCTTTGGATGTGATTCGCAAAACGGCTGGCTGGACAAAAACATCCGAGGCTTTTGCAAAGTTTTACCATCGACCAATTATCGATGAAGGTAATTTTGCAAAGGCAGTTTTGGATCAAAATTAATAAGGTCATTGTGATTGATTATCATTTTTCGAGTAACAAAAATGAAAGACTTGATTGTAAATAATTATATTGATTGTAAATAAATACCTACGGCTAATTTACAAAATAAAGTGTATAATTTAATGAACGACAAAACTTTATGCTCTAAACATCTACGTTGTGACTTTATATCTGAAGAATGAAGCGTTGAAATATAATAGATGATCAAACGAACTCCAGGAATGAAGTTCGATCACTATTATATGAATACGCTTCATTCGAAGATATAAAGACCCTCCCCCCCTACCCCTCACCTAAAGTTTTGTCTGATTTCTCTAAAGAATGACGAGTCGAGCCGACTGGCGCCAGTGCGCCGGCGGCGGAGCGGTGGGGGTGGATGGCAAAGGCGTAAAATGCTATGGCAAAGGCATAAAACCTTATTCGGTTTTTAAAAATTAAAATATTTTTTTTGACGTGCGAGGTTGCCTTGTAGGCTAAAAGGACTACGTTGTGACTTTATATCTTCGAATGAAGCGTATTCATATAATAGTGATCGAACTTCATTCCTGGAGTTCGTTTGATCATCTATTATATTGTTGTCGCGACTGTGCGACTGGCACCCGCAGTGAGTGTGCGAGCGCGATAGCAACATAATTACGCGCGAGCGATAAGGATGGGTAGCTTGGGGTCATTGGACAAAATTCTACGTGCTCCCGGACCAGACTATACAATCCGGGCCTTTTCAAGGCGAGAGTGAATAGGCACTTACAGGGCAGATATGTACTATCCTAGACTGCATCTCAATAACAGGTGCGATTGCGGTCAAATACCTGCCTTGTCATGGATAAAAAAAAATGTATTAAGTGCGACCACAGATAAATAATAGGCTAGTTTCCTAAAAACATTTTTTTAGTCCGTCAATTTTAATATGAAAAAGTATTGGACACATACATTTTTAATTGTCAATCAAACAAATAATTACAAAGTTATAGTGCGCTGAAGTTCCGCGCGACGTCACAAAGTGCAGCACTTTTACTCACTGACGTCACGAGCCTTTTCTTTAGAACTTTGGCACGCTTTATCTCTTTACATTTTCATTTGTTTCAAAAAGTGAAAAATACGTGTCGAGTAGTTTTTGATAAGCTAACTGACGGACTAATTAAAACTCTTGCTTTTTTACCCAGGAAACATCCCTATTAGAGGCTATTAAGTGGAAGTAAGCACTAGATTTTTAATGTCATTCCTAAAGAAAAAGAGATCCTAAAAAAATAGTATTTTATTTTTGCTAACTGTTCAACCAACACAGAAGTGGTCCGTTTATAGCCTCCTTGTAGACTCCAACAAAAGTACGTTTAAAAATGTTCTAAGACATGATTTATGAACAGCTTAGCTTGAGATTAATGGGCACTGGAGTAAATGCTATTGGCTGTGAAATATAATGAGTTTTTTGCTGAAAAAATACAGGTATTTCTCAATTAAGAGAATAGTATTTTGCGCACTCGAGTATTGTTTATATTAAAGTTTATAAAAAGTTTTTTATTTCTGAGGCGTATGAAAAGGTAACCCATTATTTTAAGCATTATTCAAATACACTATTGAAAGTCCGTCTATTGTAACTCGCGTTCTAATGAAATACTGTGCTCTAAAAGCTTTGAATCATCCACCCCTTAACCAGTTCGCGGCCTATACGTAGACGAAGCGCATTTTTCTTAATTTTCCGTTTCCACTCGCTGAATAATAATGCTTTTAATGGCCCTCACCGTTGTTTTATTATTTTCCAAATGAGATGCCCCACGAATGAGTTTTCTATGTAGATGAGATAGTATTGAAACGTCGCTTAGTTGTTATTTGGGAACTCTAGGTGATAGAAACGTTTTAGTATGATAATAATAGGAATTCATTTTAATATTTCGTTTAGTCTTCATTTGAATGGAATTAACACGTTGGCTGCTTAGAATATTAGAAACGATAGTAACTATTACAATGCTATAACGTTTAATAAAGTCGCAATGAAAGGTAAAATTAGTTTGTACAAAAATAGACGATTTTTAGACATTTTTTTTAGATTTTTTTAGACATCAGATGGTTTTGAGTTTCAGCTTAAACTTTATTGGCACGTGTCACAACTTTTTATTGGAGTAACCTAATTTAATTCTTTGCCATTTTCCTAAATAAGCAAAAACGGGTTTAGGCACTTTTGTAATAAATTGTTCCGATCGCTTCGCATGTATCAATATTTTAAAACGTTTTCTTAATTAAAAACTTTTGATCGCACTTAAAGTTACCTTACTATAATTCTGTTATATCATGGATTAAGGGTCCTCGGCCACTGGACACGGGGGTGTTTGGTGACCGCTAAAGGAGGACCCGTGGCGGCGGCGCGCGTATGTGTTCACGCGCACCGTTAGCGAAGAACAGTGGAGGTACTTCTCCCCTGAAGCCAGTCGTCGCTTGCTCAGACCAACAGAGCGAGCCACAGTCTGGGGCGGAGCCGCGAAAGAATGTCTAGGCCGTCTAGCTCGGACAATAACTCGCAGCACCGTCCCAAAGACTTCGGGAGGACACTGTCAGGCTTTAGTGAGTAGGCCCTGCCCATCTGTCAGGGAGAGCCTTACATAACCCACTGGTTCCCCCGGGCCAGTGGGTATGCAATTTCATGCATTTCCTGACGAAAAAAAAATGTTTTATCATAAGCGGATTAAGATAAGCGGTATTGTCTTCGTTCGGCAAAAGAAATACTTATAAAGAGCATGTTAACATTTTCTCAGAAAAGCAATTATTTCCTCATCATACTAAGGTCACACTCCTATCTGTCATCACAGAAGTAATTCAGAGATCTGTCAGAACCTAGTATCATCCACACAATTCGTTAGTATTTCCCTCGAATACAAAATGTGTCTACCTCACGCGTTAGTGGGGGGTGTAGACAACCCCCCTTTCCTTGGTGGGGTGTTTCCGAACCCCCTTCCGTCGCGTGAAGAGGCGAAACATTTGCAGTCTATTCGCTTACGTATCTCAATGGTAGATATGATCATAGGCGCTGTATCTAGGCTTTTCTCGCGAGATTTTATGCCTATTTTTATGGTAGCACTAAAAGGTATTTATGTTATGTGCTTTACGTTTAATCGTTATATGACGACTGATATTAAAGTATTATGACTTCATCTTGGTACTAGAGCTATTTCTTGCTTGCAGTGTGGAATAAAATAAGCAATGTCAGAGACATTCCTGAACACAATTTTTGCCGGCAGAAAATAATGTCATTCTTTATCGATGTCTATTAATGTTGTTTGAAATAATTGAAATTCTTTTTTGTGCCTCTTTATGTGAGTACATGTTCCAATTTGGCCCATATTTATGTGCCAGGCAACAACTTAAATGAGGTGTCACTCACACCGCCTAGCAGTTACCACCAACTCCAGAAAACGGATAAAACTTTGTTCGGACCGAACAAAAGGTTCGAGGTTTTCCCAGATCCCCACTTTTTAGCCTTTATTTCGTCTCGGGAGTTCTTATCAAACAGTCTGATACATGCGTCCAAGTTTTGGGCCAAATAAGCCGCAAATGCGGCGCGAACGTTTGCCGCAACCCTTTCGTTTTGGAGCGAAGTTGGAGCAAACTGCGGCTGGATTTTCGGGATGCCATGCGTTGGTGTTGGGATTTTAAAAGTCTGAAGAGTGGTTGATATAAACTCTTTTGCTTTAACTCGTGGAAATGGACGTTTAATAAATTTGTTTTTTTTTTGGGATACAGGTCACTTTCTCTTTTTCCTTTTTCAGTAATTCCCTTAATATTGAGGATCGTTGGTCCAACCATCCAACACTTGGCCACCCTCTTAATGAACGTACGAAAATATTTATCCATCTTAATTTTCTCTTGGCGCACTAGATTGGCCATCCAAGTGGCCCTTAGAGGTCAAATAAAGGTAATAAATTTCAAGCGATGTCGCCGGTGAAGAAAGTGTCTTTCTGATTTTAATGTTAATTTATTCTGCATAATGAATTGCAGTGGATTTGAAAAGAGCAGTTTGCAGTCGCGTTTCGCTTAAAAGGTTTTTCTTTGACGACAAAGTAAATTAAGATTACTTTAAGGGCTATATTTCACCGGGACACCATGGCGGCGCAACCAGTCGCCGGCTACCAACAAAATGTATGCAGCTCTATAGAGAGTTACTCACCTGGTGTCCGTTTGGTTGCGAAAAGCTGCATACATTTTGTTGGTAGCCGGCGACTGGTTGCGCGCCATGGTGTCCCAGTGAAATACTCGTATAGCCCTAAAAGTTTATCAGCGCAAAAATGCATTAATTCGTTCTCGTTGCAGCAGGCATCTTAAAAAAGTCTAATCACATTCAAGATCTTAACTCTTTTTAGTCGGTGTTACGAAACCATATGTCAGTATCATCTCGCCGAAATATTACTAGGATATTAGAGATACTGTTGCCTCGTGTTTTGCTCCCAACAATGCAGCTTTATGCTGTTCGTCTCCATTGTAGGGCGGAAAATTTTAGAATAAGTACCTATATTAGTGCTTTGATTGTATATTTTGACTACTTTATCTATTATAGAAGTTATAAATTCCCGCATTTTTTTCATTAAGTCATCCGTAAAACATGTAAATATACCTTCTCTTTTAAACATGAACTATTTTCTTATTTATCATCTAGTAAGTATAGGCACTTATTCTATAGCATTTTGACTAGAAATGTAACACCAGTAGGTATAACGCTCTCTTAAACTAGTTATGAGTTACTTCAACAAGTTCATTTAGTACTTTTCCACCTCATCCGGTAAAAACGTTAAAATAAAGTTGATCAAAACTATCCACACGATAAAAATGACGTGCCAATCTCGTGCACATTATTATCGGCGGCAGTGGACACAGTCGGGCGCCACATTAGACGGCAGCTTAATATCGGCGCGCGGGAAGCCGGGACGTGTCGTATAATGCCGGCTGCCTTTTAGCGGCTACGTAAGACTTGAAGTATGAGTATTCTAATCTGAATTTAGGGGCCCTGAATAGTTTTTTTAGGGCTCGCTTTTATAATAATCCCACCATAGATCGCATCTGCACATACGATCTATGGTGGATCTTGCCCAGAAAATTCCTTTTCTCTCATGGCTTAATGACTATCTAGATAGAGTTAAAGATATATCAGATAGTAGTTTTTCTCCATACATTTTATTAGTTTTAAACCTGAATGTTAAATGATTAAAAACTTGTGTGCGATACTCTTAATTCGTTTCCATTCATCTTCAAGACATATTAAACGGGATATTGGATTCAATTATCGTAAAAGAATTGAGCAAACTTTTCAACATTCAATGCGGTGTTATCTTTTGTTACTATGTATTTTTATAATTTAAGTATTATTTAGGTTTTTACGAATGACCCATTAGATTTCCAGTCATACTAATCTTTTTTGAATTGTAGACGAAAAACCCCATTACCGAAACACCAAAAAATATGTGAGTGATAATAGTGATAAGTAGTTAATGACTATATGAAAATGTTAGCTTGTGTGTGCCAGCCCACGGAGACGGCATTGTTGTTCAAAGGCGGACCACCGGTGGCTATGGGACCACTCGGCTCTAGCAAGATTAGGAACCAAGCTTCAGCGATGAAGGGCCTACAACTGAACCCTAAGGAAGCCCGGAGGCTAAGCGAGGACTCCTCGCACCCGTCATCCCCAACAGAAATACATTCGACCGGGAGCCTATTAAATCTTAGAAAAATAGAAAAGAAAGCAAAATCAACGAAGATCCTTGTTAACCCAGTCTGCTCTGATAGCGTCGGAACAAGCGACGATAGTAACCCAACGAAAACCAAAAAGTGGAATGGGAAGAAAAAGCGACTAAAGTCAGATGAGAAACTTAAGCCCGATTCAAAATACTCCACGGTGGATTCAATAAAACGTGTCGCCGCTAAAGAAGATAAAACATCAATATCCTGCTTCAAAATTAAATGTTCAGATGACAAATCCCGTTCCGACGATGACAAAAAGTCGGGAAGAGAGAACTGCAGTAATGAAAACGCTAGCAATCTGATTAGTGCTGAGAGACCTGACCTCATTAATCATTCTAGGAAGAACAGCCGAGAGATATTGGTGGATGAAGGCACGATGACTGACGAGTCCACTTTGAGGGGCGATCAGCAAGTGAAAGGAAAGACTGATATTGTAGCGGTTAAAGATTACAAGGTGAGTGGAGTAGACGTAGACACAAACAACACTACTTTCTTATTTATTATAATTACACTATGATAATGCTTTTACCTACGACGCAAAATAAGGTGTTTAAACATTATTATTGTAATATGTTTAAGTAGGTACAGATATTTTGACACACTCGTCGCTCACGAAGTAAAATTAGATTTTGAAACAAACCATTGTTTCATGATACTCATTTGTGTGTGAATTGATTTGAACATTGTTACATAGTTTTTTCAAGTTATTATTCAAAATTTAGTTTGAGAAGCGACTCAATTTGCTAAGAAATTTTAATAACGATTGTTACATAGGTATATCAATGAAGTACTAACATTTTTAAAAGAAGGGGTAAACATTTTAGTGGAATATGAATATGATAGATTTGGAAATGATGGCAGCCTATACAATCTCTAAAGAATGTGTACTTAAAAAGTTTCACAAAAATAGGAGGTTATTTTGAGATGTCTAAAAATACTTCTATCCGCAATTTCCATTCGTTTCAAGGTCGTATCGGCCCGATAACTCAATTGTGGGCTGGATTCCTCATTAACCCGATCGGAATCGTCCCGAGCGGTCTCTATGCTAATGAGGCTCCGCTCCCGAGAGCCTCGCGAGTGGATTGCGTTTTGGAATAGATTGTGCCACCGCTAAGATATTTTGATAGCTCGTGCTAAGATATTTCGGTAGGAAACTGTCATTTGGATAGTAATCCAAATCCAAATCCAAGTACTTATTTGTAGCTATCCTATTCCGCAGGGATTTTCTCGGTATAATCTTACTTTAACTATAACAAACGTCAAAAGTCTGTCAAATTTCATTCAAAATACCCGTTATTAATAAAATTATTTATCATCATCATCATTTCAGCCATAGAACGTCCACTGCTGAACATAGGCCTCCCCCAATGCTTTCCATGTTGACCGATTGGTGCAGACCTGCGTCCAGCGCTTCCCTGCTACCTTTATGATGTCGTCGGTCCACCTTCAAGGTTCTGGAATGGAGGCCGCGTACCGGAAAACGCAGCGTGAGACGTCCACTCGCAAGGTGGACCGACGACATCATAATTATTTATCAGCATCATCATCATCATTTCAGTCATAGGACGTCCACTGCTGAAAATAGGCCTCCCCCAATGCTTTCCATGTTGCCCGGTTGTTAGCGGCCTACGGTAATTTATAGTTACGGTTAATTTTAAGATGGTGCAACTCAGCCTTAGACAGCACATCTAGTGCAAAATGCTTCAGTATTTAGCTTGACATGATATTGTCTGTACATTAATAGAATGTGCGAATTTCAGCAAACCTATTCATAACCAAATAGAGCATAATTGCGGCTAGCGATATCGTCAGACAAATATTCGATTATTCCAAATCGGAACGTTCGTTAATACTGAATCGGAACACCACTGTCCCGATCATCTGCGATTAATGTCCGTGTATGGGCATAAAACACAAATTGGTAGTAGGATCTAGAATACTCGTATTAATTTATTGTGTTATCTTGGTATGACGAATTTTGGATTATTGTCATGAAAATCCAACGAAAAAAAGCACTGGAATAAACCTATTTTCAAATTAGATTCAATCATTATCAAATTGGTATATCATCTACCTACCTTTTATGAAATGTCAAAAGCGATTGTCCCGTATGCACAGTAAAGAGAAACTGTGACCTCACTTTTCACTAACTAAATTATTTACTATTGATTTCAAAGCTATTAAAAGTCTTGTTTTATTAAAAACGAAGGCTTTGTTTTCATGGCTTGAATTTTGTTAAGCCGCGAAGCCGCGATTATTTGCCAGTGAAATACTTATGATCAAAAACCGTTAATTAAAAAATTTTTAATGAAAAAAAAATACACAAAACTCATTTATTTTTGCAAATAGGCTTTTAAAGCGCACTTTTACACCCTACCACTGCTTCGGGACAATAAATAGGCCAGTGCTGAGAAGAAGCAGCGCAAGAAACTCAGTCACTATTGTCAGCCTCCTTTTCATCTTGGTCAATTTTCAATGGTCCTACTGTATCTTTTCGTATTTTACCAACACTCGCCATGTGGTATTATTGCGGCTTCATAGGGCTTAGACCCCTCATGCACGCTCGAGATGATGTAGAGATAGCAAAATCATAACTCTGTAGGGTAANCAGCAAAATCAGCATGTGAGTAATTTTATTCCTTTAAAAACAACTGTGGACTTCATCCTGGTTTCAGGAAGTAGTCATATAATGACAAAGAAGACATAAATTATAGAATTATAACTGCTGATGGAAACATACATCCAGTTAATACCATGGGAAATATTTATACAGACAATATTAATTTTAAGAATGTTTTATGTGTACCCCAACTTAAAAAATCTGTGTCTAAATTAGCTGATGATAATTATATTGTTAAATTTTACAGAAATCAATGCCAAATCATAGATCAGAACTCTGAGTGTAAGCAGACAGGAGTTCGGAGAGAGGATGGCCTTTATTATATGAAACTGCCAATGGACATGTCAAAGTCAGTCGTGCATTCGAGGTCAGACAAAACATTCTTTATTAAAGGCTTCTGGCATCGTGCCTTAGGTCATGTACCTATAAACAAGACTAAAGACCTTGTTTTAGGTATAGATAGAAACTTAGTAGATGATGTAGACATCTGCGAAGTCTGCATACAATCTAAGCTTTGTAGAAAACCTTTTAAAACTGTTAGATATAGAGCTACTAAACCTTCAAAAATTATTCACAGTTATATTTGTGGTCCTATTGGAAAGGAAACATGGGATGGCTACAAATATTTTATTACATTTTTAGATGATTACACACATTTTGTTAAAGTATTTCTTCTTAAAAAAAGAGCGAAGCTTTTTCTAAAATTTTAAACTTTATCAATTTGGCGAACGGTTAAATAGGTCCTTAATGGAACGAACAAGAGCTTTACTCTTTGATATGCAGGTACCACATGAACTATGGGGTGAAGCGGTTTTAACTTCTGCTTATTTATTAAACAGATGTTCAAACACAGTAAACATTAAAACACCGGCGGAGATGTGGTTTAATAGAATACCAAATTTAAAACACTTAAATATTTTCGGATCATTAACATACGTTAAAAATAATTTTCAATTAAAACTTGACTCAAGAAGCAGTAAAGCGCTTTTAGTAGGTTATACTAATAACGGATATAAAATATGGGATCCTTTACATTTTAAAATCTATTATTCAAGAGTTTAATAATAGTAAGAGTGATGTTAGTGAGTTTTTAAAAACGTGTTATAGGGAAGTGAGACTAAGTGATTTAAATAATTTATTTAAAGAAATTAGTGTTGATATTAGTGATGAAGTTATTAATGGTGATATTTGTGATGAAGTTATAAGCAGTGTTGTTGGTAATGAAGAAGTTAATGAAGATATTAGAAATGGTGTTGAAGATAATGGTGTTTATGAAGAAAGAGTTACTGATGTTTTTGAAGATAGAGTTGAAGATGTTGAAGTTGATGGTGTAAATACTGAGAATATTGAAGATTGTATTGAAGAAAATATAAATTTGAGAGGGGAGGTTAGAGAAGATTCAGCTGTTGAAGACAGTGATGGTTTAAGGATTTTACCAAATAGAGAGAGGAGATTACCTTCTAGGCTAATGGATTATGATTTAGAGAGTTCGTTTTTAACTTTTACGGAAGTTTTGAGTAGTGTTGATAAAGATTTATGGAAGAAATCAATTGATGAAGAAAAAGAATCTTTAGAGAAGAATAAAACATGGGAAATTGTAGGAAGGCAGAAAGCAAGAAATAGAAAAATAATATAAAGTAAATGGATTTTTACAATAAAGCCTGGTGGTAGATATAAGGCTAGATTAGTGGCAAGAGGTTTTTTACAAAAGTATAATATTGACTATAAAGAAACATAATAGTCCAGTGGTAAACACAACAAGTGTTAGATTGTTGTTGGCTATTGCAGCTCGACAAGGGTTTAAAATAAAGCAGTTCGACGTGAAAACAGCATTTTTATATGGGGAATTAAATGAAGATATTTTTATGGAGATACAAAATCAAAATCAATACCTTTAGGATACAACATAAAGGACAAAGAAAATAAGGTGTGTAAATTAAAGAAAAGTTTGTACGGGTTGAAGCAAGCGCCATTTATGTGGAATAAGAGGCTGACGGAATTTTTGAAGAAATTGGGATTGATACAAATGAAATTAGATCCATGTGTGTTTTATAATAAAAATAAAAATATATACTTAGCAATTTACGTAGATGATGGTATTTTAATTGGTAAGGATGAGATATGTTTAAATAAAATAATAAATCAATTAGAAACGGAATTTGAAATGCGGAAATTTAATAAAACTGAAAAGTTTATAGGTTTTGATGTGTTAATTAAAGAAAATGTTATAAAAAAATTTCAGGAAAGTTATATAAATCAACTTTTAGATAAATTTAAATACAAAAGCTTAAAAGATAGTAGTCATCCAGATATTTTGGTAGATACACATCAAGAGGGGAAAGGTGTAGGTGTGCATCGTTATAGGCAATTAATCGGCTCGTTGTTGTATTTAGTGAACAAAACAAGATTAGATCTGTCGTTTCATGTTGGTTATTGTAGTAGTCATCAGGAACATCCTAATTTGAATGATTTTGCAAATATTAAAAACATTTTTAGATATATTAAAAAAACAGCAGTGGTATAAAATATGTTCGTGGTAGCGATCTAAGTTTAAAAGCATATTGTGATGCAGACTTTGCAGGTGATCCTGATACTAGGAAAAGCACGACTGGTTTTGTAGTGTTTTATGGTGGTGGTCCAATTCACTGGTGTTCTCGCAAACAGTCAGTAACTGCTTTGTCTAGTACTGAGGCTGAATATATATATCTACAGCCGAGTGTATAAAAGATCTGCTTTACATTCAGAGTTTAATTCATGAGTTGACAGGGGAGTTACTAAAAACACAATTGTTTGTTGATAATCAATCAGCAATAGTTTTGATTAAAAACGGAATCTTAAATAGGAGGAGCAAGCACATTGATGTTAAATACCATTTTATTAAGGAGAAATTAGATAAAAATTTATTAGAAATTTATTATTGTCCTACTAAAGACAATTTGGCTGATATTTTAACTAAACCACTGGATAGAACAAAGTTTTTGAGACTTAGACAATGTATAGTGAGTGATACATAGTGGACATTTGTGATGTGACGAGTTATGTAGGTTTATTAGAATATAAGGATTTTGGGAGTTAACTTGAAATTTTAATTTTAAGTTAGTTATTTTAAGTTGTGTTTAGGTTAATTAATTCAAAAGTATATTTGTTGTATGGTTGTATTGGGTAAGTTAGTTAAGTTGGGTTTTAAGGAGTAGATAGGTAGTTGTTATGATTATATAAAGATAAAATTCAGAGGGGATGTTAGGATATAGAATTTTAACATGAGATGATTTGTTGGTATAATGTTGCTGGCAGTTTTTATTTAACCCTTTCACGCATATGGGACGCATTTGTCCCCACATAATTTTCACGATTTACTCTAATACTTGCCAAATAAAACCTTTTNGTAAACAGCAATAGAATGAAGTTTGAAAATAATGACAGGTGTAGAAAAGCGAGACAATGTGACATTGTATCATTGTATTATTGAATTTCGATAGATTCAGTTGTAAATGTTTTAATATTTAACCTTTGGCGTGCTATTGAGCCGCGCAAAACTGCACCCGCCAACTGCTACGGTTTTCAAATGATGTTTCAAAATGACAAAGTAGTCTTGTCTTAGATCTGAGACATAGCAGTTGACGGAGGTTGCACAGATCTGAGACAAAGCATAGGAGAGGTTAATATGTAATAGATTTTGATAATATTTTAATAATAAAGTGTGTGTGAGTATTGAAGTGGCGTTATTATGATTGAAGTTTAACCTCCCAGGAGTTGTGTGGAGAGGCACACTCCTCGAACACACACACGTACTCATTCCACTCAAAATAAACATAAACCATTTGTTTACTAATGCTACTATAACCTACAGTAAACAAGTACAAACCTTCAAGAAGTTCGCCATATTGCTTAAAATTTTTGTGCTTGGATTTTTTCCGAAGCGATCGAAGAAGACTAGCCGTTCTCGTAGATTGATGTCGTACAGAAAGTAAGTTTTCTGGAATGAAACCAAGTTACGCAATACAACTTTAGGTTATGGTATTAAACTTATTTAAGACAAACTTTTTAACATGTGTGTGCATTATTTTACTGTTCATCTATACTGCAAAGAACCACAAAATAAACTCACCTATGTCGTGCTGACCCAAAAGAATCTTCCTGCAATACAAACATTTTATATCGGCAAGTGATGAGTTTCTTACTGTACCATTTGCTGGTAATGATAAACCGTGGAAAGAAGTCTGATATAAGTTTCTAGCCGATATTAGACGATGCATCGCTGTTATTTTAATTCAGTATCACAAATAAATTGAACAAAACATGACGAGATTAGAAAAACCACGTGAAAATTGAAGTCACTCGAGTTCCGAAAATCGCAGAACCAAAATAAACTTGACATAGATGACAGCCTGACAGCTATCGACGTCACTTTGACAGCAAAAATTTTTTTTGATAATGCCACGGCTATATTAGTGTAGCAAAGGACCTCCATGAGCTCAGATTAAAGATCACTGAGCAAAGCAAAGGTATAATTTTAAAAAAATACAGCCGCTGACACGCTTGACATACTGTGTCATCATTCATTGTCAATTTGACATTTGGCTTTGTGTATCTCGGTGTGAAATGCATGTTTTCCGTAGTTTTCTCAGAAAATTCTAAATTTTTAATTGTTTGTTGTTGAATTAGATAATTGTATAGTGTTATAATTGTTAGATTACTATAGTACTACTGTTTAAGTAGATGTATAAGCCGTCGCTATGGATGAAAAGAGCTTTGTGTGTAAGTTTATTTTAGTGGGAAGAAAATCGGATACAAATCAATCATTGTAAAACCTTAGCATAAATTAAATCTGTTACAGTCAAAACTCATAATCGGTCAAAACCACTTTTGACTGCAAGGTCAGTGTGGGGTCAAAGTGGTTTTGACTGATGCTCTTGGTCTGAGCATCAGTCACAACCACATTTAACTGCATAAAAACTGTCAATAATGGTTTCGTCTGATTTAAAATCTTACCAATCAGCCTAAATTCATACAGTGTTATGATTTTTTAGGGACATCAGAACTCAATCAACGTTTTTTTGAGCTTCGCTTTGAAAACGACTGGTTGTTCAAGAAAAAAAAACAACCATGGGGGTAATGTATCTTATGCCTGACAATCTGGCTTATTACAGAGTTACAGACAATAGCACATCAAGTTAACGTAGTTGTAATAGGGGTGATTTTGCAACCAAAATGTATAGTCTGATAAGCTATTGTCTGTACTCTAAAGAAATCATTATTATTTTCTCAGAATTTTAAGAATTTGGATTATGAAATGAATGAATAATCAAGCCACAGGACGTCCACTGCTGAACATAGGCCTCCCCAATGACTTCCACATCGCACAGTTGGTAGCGGCCTGCATCCAGCGCCTGCCAGCAGTGGACGTCCTGTGGCTGAAATGATGACGATGATAAATAATCAGGTCAACTTTTTATTTTATTTATTTAAATCAACATAACACTATTATTACAGTACAGATTATAAAAACCAAGGCTATACTTAGTATCATTGTATAATAATGTTTAAGCTATTTTAAAGTTAATATGTATTTTACAGAGAATTCCACAAAATTCTAATGGACAATGGTTTTCCTGAAGAGATGACAATTAGCCAGGTTAGGAAGAAGTGGTCCTACATTTACGATGTAAGTACCTAACTGCTTATTATGATAATGTTTATAGTCAATGAATAATTCAACATACCTCCATGATTCAGTCTTACTTAGGGGCCGTCCATAAATTACGTCATCGATTTTTTCAGATTTTAGACCCCCCCCCCTACAATCATCCTATTGTCATTTCTTAATGACCCCCCCCCCTTCTCCCAAAATTGACGTCATTACCAGTTTTTTAATAGATAGAGTGATTCTTAAGGAAGGTTTATATGTATAATACATGTAAGTACCACGGGCGAAGCCGGGGCGGGCAGCTAGTATAAATGTAATACTAGCGGCCGCCCGCGACTTCGTACGCGTGGATCCCGTTTTACCCCCTTCATCTATCTTACGCGGTTTAGATTTTTTCATACAAAAATGTTTTTTCCCGCTAACTCCCGTTCCCGTGGGAATTTTGCAATATCCTGTTGTAACTAAGCTTAAAGTTTACTAAGATACCTGCATGCCAAATTTCAAGCGTCTAACTTAAGCGGTTTAGATTTTTCCATACAAATGTTTTTTCCCGCTTTCTCCCGTTACCGTGGGAATTTTGCAATATCCTGTAGTAATTAAGCTTTAAGTTTACTAAGATACCTGCATGCCAAATTTCAAGCGTATAACTTAAGCGGTTTAGATTTTTCATACAAACAGATTTTCCCGCTAATTCCCGTTCCTGTGGGAATTCCTAAGTATACTATAACCTGCCCAGGAGTATGTAGAATAATTGTACCAAGTTTCGTTAAAATCCGTCGAGTAGTTTTTGTTTCTATAAGGAACATACAGACAGACAGACACAAAAATTTTACTGATTGCATTTTTGGCATCAGTATCGATCAATAATCACCCCCTGATAGTTATTTTGAAAATATATTTCATGTACAGAATTGACCTCTCTACAGATTTATTATAAGTAGGTAATATAGATTATTGTTAGAGTATTTTATCTGTAGTTATTACTGTATTTGTGTACATCTATGTTGCATTATGTATGTTTATTATGAGTTATTTTAGTATTGTACGCGCCTTAGCCGCCTCTCACATTTGCAGTCTCACTTACTAGGTGTGCTGGAAGAAATTTCTTTTTAGAAATAGTATTTTTGTACGTGAACAATAAACTATAAATAAATAAATAAGAATGACGTCAATTTCGAAACACCTCCCCCCCCCCTATCTATCATTTACCGTCATCCGCAGACCAACCCCCCCCCCTAATTTAGAATGACGTAATATATGGACGGCCCCTTATTACATCTTTTGCTTTATCATGAATTAAAAAATGTTTTACACTATAATGGTTCATTAAAGTTTTATGTTATATTTTTATTCTGCACAAAATCAAAATCAAAAATCAAAATCATTTATTCAGTTTAGAACACCAGTGGCACTTATGAACGTCAAAAAAATAAAAGGTAGCCCTTATTATGTACTCAATTTGTCACGCTAGATGCATTCAATTATTTATCAACTTTTTTGTCAGTTCTCTGTTCTTTGCTTGACCCTGACCACAGAACTTCATCCGGTATAGTCCTATATCCCATTCATTATTATTAGATTAGATTTAAAAAATAGCATGTAAGAAATTATTAAATATTTATTTGTTTCAGATGTACAAGTTGGCTAAAAAGACAAAAAATAAGAGCTGGAAATATTACAAATTGTTTGACAAACACTTTGGCAAAACAAAAGTCTTGGACAAATATGAATCTTGTTAGTGTGAAACAGTTTTTTTTAGTTGAAGGTTTCCTAAAACTGGAATAAATCAGAAAGGATGTCTTCGCTATTAAATTTTAATATTGTTGATTTAGAAAATATAGCTTTTTACTAAAAATTGTATTTAAAAAAAAAGTTCAATTATTATCGAAACTTATTTTAACATTGAGAAACAATACAAAAAAAAAATCTTACTACAGCCCAAGAGATTTAATTAAAAACAAAAGTATATTGCACTTCATTTAACATCCTATATGTATAAACTGATTAGTTTCTAGGTTCATTTACCATTGATAATGCTTTATTTGCTTATTTGCAGGGACTGACGATTGGCGTCTAAAGTTGATAACTAGCATAACAGAAACCAAAAGCATGACATTGGATGTACTGAGTATGTGGAAGTATGTATTTAATTCTTTAAATTTTTCATTAAACTCTTTTTAAGATTTTTGGAACTTTATTTTAATGTTTTATCTCACCTCTATAAAAAATAATTTGTGTAGATTTTTTTTAAGATTTTTGTCCAAGCAAAATAACAACCTTTACGATGTCGTCGGTCCACCTTGTAGGTGGGGGAGGCCTATGTTCAGCAGTGGACGTCCTGTGGCTGAAATGATAATGATGATGATGATAATAACAAAAATATTTTTTTAATTACAAAATTAAGTAAGTCTCAGTAAGAGCAATTTTTTTAAACTCACTGTTCCATTTTGAATAAAATTTTACAATTCATCTATGACTAGAATAAAGGGTATTTATTATAAATATTTTTCTCAAGCTGGCAAGTGAATACCAATTTGTTTCAGGACTGTTGAAAGATCATTGAGAAGTCAGGATTTGCCCCTTGACTGCTGCATCCAAGACATAAAAGGATTGTGGCAACATATAAGAACAACATTCAATGTGAGTGCACCCTTCAAGCATCTAATAATAACATTGACTGCTTTCATTCATAAAACATGGGAGCAATTTCAAGCACCAACCACTTCAACATGTTTTATAACTGTATACTGATTATCAATGATTCAAGTGGCTTGCATGATTTATAACTGCCTAATAACTGGTTCTAAATATAATTTTGTTTTAGAGAAAGCATCGTTTAAAAATTAAAAAGGGCGCCGAGCTATCGGAATGGCCCTTGTATGATGTAATGTTGAGTTACTTCCAAACCTATGAACCAGAGTATGTAGTTAATTTAGAGAACGAAGCGGCCTGCGGATTCGTCGTGAGACGGAGGATCAAGAATAAATTTAGTAAAAAGCAAAAAAACACTGATTCTAATGACAATGAAAATGAGTTTCAATGTAAGTAATTAACTTAATTGGTTATATTAATTAAGGTTCGGTTAGCTATAGCAAACACATTAATAGACCAATAACTTATTGTTTGAATGTCTACAAATAGTTTTGGTTTTCAGGGTCCAAAGATATAACAGAGACATTCATACAAATCCGTCTTCAAAACGATTGGCTCTTCAGTAAAAAGAAATGGGCGTGGAAGTAAGTTTATTATATAAATGATCGAGATTTAACGGTGTAATAATAATGGTATTATAATTAATTATATTTATTCGTCAACAGTGATCTTCATGCCATCATGGTGGGGGAATATGGCTTTCCGAAAACTTTGACCAGTAGAGAAATTTGTAGGAAATGGGCAGCAACTTTTTCGGTCAGTATTATTTAAGACATTACAATTTTTTTTGAATGATGAAATCCTCACGATATTAAAACAGGATTACTAATGTTTGGCCAAAAAACGTTTCCCAAATTATCACATCGCAAACAACGTTTCGCAAATTTTCATTTGGCAAAACAACTTATAGCAAACTTTTAATTCGCAAATGCTGTTTTTAGCATATTATTGTTTAGCAAATTATTGTTTGGCAAAGTATGTTTTGGCAAATGTTTCATTTGGCAAAAATATTTCACGATATACTATTTACAAAATAATTTGATTGGTGCATAGAATGGAGTACAAA